TGTTAGAGAATTTACATCATAAGCTTTTAATGATTATTCCATGTCGATTAGGACAACTATTGAACATCATGTTGCATATGTTTATACACAAAATGATTTAGCTGAGTCGTTAATCGAACGCCTTCAATTAATTGCAAGACCATTATTAATGCATTCTAAACTTCCTACATCGACATGGGGACATGCAATTTTACATGCAACATCACTTATATGCATAATGACAACTAGTTATCATGAGTTCTCCCCTATTCAACTGGTTTGCAGTCAGTAACCAATTATTTACCATCCAAGGATGTTTGGATGTATAATTTATGTACCCATTTCTCCACCTCACTTCACAAAAATGGGTTCTCAAGAAGAATGAGAATTTATGTTGGATATGAATCTCCATCTATAGTAAAATATTTAAAATCATCAATTGGAGATTTATTTACAGCTATATTTGATGATTATTATTTTGATGAATCATATTTTCCAACATTAGGGGGAGAAATAAAGAAGCTGGAAAATAAAATCTCTTGAAAGGAATTGTCACTTTCAGTTTTAGTTCCTCGTTCAAGTCAATGTGAACTTGAAATAAAAAAAGATAATTCATTTACAAAATATAGCAAATCAATTGCAAGAAGCATTTACTGACCCTAAGTGGGTAACAAAGTTTCATGTACCAGCTATACTTACTCAAGTTAGAATTGATATCCCAGAAGGAAAAAAAATACAACTACAAATGAATCAAAGGCACGCCTGAAGCGTGGAAGACCAACCGGTTCCAAAGATAAAAATCCTAGAAAACGAAAGGGAACAAATATAATTGATGGTCCAAAAAAAAACAGAATCTTTTGAAAAGATTAATGAAGCTCCAGAAGATCCCAATGACATAACAAAAGAAACTGAGGTACCTGAAAAAAAAATGAAAATGACGAGATCTCAATAAATTATGGCATGGCAAGAATAATATGGAACCGAAATAAGATAGATGTCGACGATAATTTTTCATATTATGTTCCGCGCGCGATTATAATGAAAATGAGGATCTTGAACCTAAATCTATTGAGTAATGTATGAATAGAAAAGATTGTCCAAAATGGAAAGATGCAATAAACAAAGAGTTTAATTCTATTACTCAACGAAAAGTTTTTGGACCTGTAGTCCATACACCAAACAGAGTAAGAACAATGGGACACGAATGGGTATTTGTGCGCAAAAGAAACGAGAAAAATGAGGTTGTGAGATATAAAGCAATATTTGTTGCACAAGGTTTTACCCAAAAGCCCAAAATTGATTATGAAGAAACATAGTCTCCGGTAGTTGATGCAATTATATTCAATTATTTTATAAGTTTAACAACATATGCAAAACTGGAGATGTGTCTAATGGATGTATTTACCGCTTATTTATATGGTTCACTTGAAAATGATATTTATATGAAAATCCCAAAAGGGTTTAAGGTGCCAGAAGCACAAACTCCTAATTCTCGTGACGTATATTTGGTAAAATTAAATAAATCTTTATATGGATTGAAACAATCTGCTTGTATGTGGTTCAATTGTTTAAGTACGTTTCTTTTAAAGGAGGGCTATAAAAATGATCCATTAAGCCCATGTGTATTCATAAAAAGATCAGGATCAGAATTTGTGATAATTGTTGTTTACGTAGATGATTTGAACATAATTGGAACTTCTGGAGAATTGGAAAATGCCACTTCTTGTTTGAAAGAAAAATTTGAAATGAACGAAATTTTGTTTGGGTCTTCAAATTGAGCACACCAAAAATGGAGTTTTTGTACATCAATCTAGTTATCTAGAAAAGGTGCTTAAAAAGTTTTATATGGATAACTCACATCCATTGAGTACCCCGATGGTAGTAAGGCATTTAGATGCCAAAAAGAACCAGTTTCGGCCTTGTGAAAAACATGAAAAACTTCTTGGTCCCGAAGTACCATATCTTAGTGCTATTGGTGCACTAATGTATCTTGCTAATAATACGAGACCTGGTATATCTTTTGCTGTAAACTTATTAGCAAGATATAGTTCTTGCACAACAAGAAGACATTGGAATGGATTCAAACACATTCTTCGATATCTTCGAGGTACAATGGATATGGGCTTATATTATTCAAATTCATCAAATGCGGAGTTAATTGGTTATGCAGATGCTGGATATTTGTCTGATCCACACAAAGCTCGATCCCAAACATGTTATTTATTCACTTGTGGAGGTATCGCAATTTCTTGGCGTTCTCTTAAACAAACTTTAGTTGCTTCTTCTTCTAACCATGCAGAGATTATAGCAATTCACGAGGCAAGCCGTGAATGTATTTGGTTAAGAAATTGAACCCATCACATTCGTGAGAGTTGTGGTCTAACTTCTAACAGGGACGTTCCAACCATACTATATGAAGATAATGCGGCTTGTATAGCCCAATTCAATGAAGGGTTTATCAAAGGAGACAAAACCAAACATATATCACCAAAGTTTTTTTTTACTCATGATCTTCAAAAAGAGCGTGGCATCAACATCCAGAAAATTCAATCAAGTAACAACTTGGCAGATTTGTTCACTAAAGCGCTCCCTACATCCAAATTTGAAAACATGGTACGAAATATTGGAATGCGACGCTTTAAGGAAATCAAGTGATGTGATGATCAGGGGGAGTTGGAAACACATTGTACTCTTTTCTTTAGTTATGTTTTTCCCACTGGGTTTTCTTAGCAAGGTTTTTAACGAGGCAATTGTTCCAAATATCTATTATTAATCATGTACTATTTTTCCTTAATAAATGGTTTTTCCCATGAGGTTTTACCTATTAAGGTTTTAACGAGACATGATACAATCGTCATTCAAGGGGGAGTGTTATGAAATATTAGTTTGTGAATGACCATTGGATTCTCCATTTCTCTCATAACTCTCCATCATTATTTAGCATTAGTAACAACCATTTCAATGTGTTTTATGAATGTAATAATACACCATCATAATGTGCATTCATATTATAGCTCATATTTCTTCTTATTTGGATAGTATAAATAGTGAGCCATATGTATTAGAAACTAGATGATTTCATCACAAGTATTAAAATAAAAGTTCTATCTACTATCATGTCTTTCTTTACTTTATAATTTATCTTGTTATTTGATCATATTTTATAACAAATGTATTATTATTATTATTATTATTATTATTATTATTATTATTATTATTATTATTTAAATATATATATTATTATTATTATTATTATTATTATTATTATTATTATTATTATTATTACACGCGTTTAATATATTATTTAATATTATAGTACAATACTTTAAGTAAAATTTTAGATGTAATATCTAATTAGTAGGATTTCAGATGTCCTTTATTTTTATAACTTTTGATTTGCGTATCTATTCACATTGTCTTCTAAACAAACATATATATATATATATATATATATATATATATAATATATATATATATATATATATATATATATATTATACTAAAACAAAATATTGTAAAACATTTATAACCTAAATAGTTTAGAAACCAATTTTAAAAGTTTTACCAGTGCTATTCCATATTTTTATTAATAGTTACACAACACTCATGATAATCATAAGATTGTAACGACAAATCAGTTTGAATCAGCCGGTCAAACTGGTTGGACCGGGAACCGGGGGAAAGAACGGTTCAACTATCACCGGTTTTACATTGATTTCTGACCGGATTGAAACGATCAGTTTTTAGAAAAAAACCGGCTGAACCGGTAACACTAACCAGTTGAACCGGTTAAATCAAATAAAAACACATGAAAAAGAACAAATTACGTAATAAACGTTGGTGATTTTTTCATATCTATTTAATTTTCTCTAAATAAAAACATATGATAAATGTTATAAAGTTTTTTTTATGTGTTTATATTCATTTAAAACAATATTTCGTTACGGTATTATACTTTATTTTCTTTTTGACGTATATAGATTAATATAAAATACTAACACTTATGGTTATGTGTTATTTTAATATATTTGGATTCATTTACAACTTATTTTATGTTTTTTTAATGTTTGAGTTTGTAAACATCAAATTCATGATTTATATATGTATATATGTGTAGGAAAATAGAAAAAACATGAAAACGATAGAAACCGGTTAACCAAACGGTCGAAGCGGTTAAACCGAGTATTGTTCAAAAAGGTTCAAAACAAGGAAGTCATATTGTTTAATGATTTCTATAACAACATGAAACGTCAATGGAAAAACGGAGAAAATGATGAAGTGACTTTGAAGAAAGCTCTAAAAGTATACCAAAAAGAAAACAAGAAAACTTTCAAATTTATTAACTTCTGGAATCTCGTGAAAAATAACAAGAAATAGCAAGTGAGCAAAACATCCGAACAACATATCGATATTGGTTCAAAAAACTCAAGAACATCCGAATCCGACCAAACTACATCCGATGCTCATGTTGGTTTCGACCTCAACGATGATGTACCTATTCAAGTTTCACCACCTTCCCAACCAATGAGAAGGGACAAAACAAAAAACAAAGACAAAGGCAAATCCTCATATTCTGATGACTTGAAATAAATTGAGAACGACATGAAGGGTATAAACGAACGAATTGACAAAATTTTACAAATTGCATCCGAAAGAGAGCTTCATAAACAAAATGATAGTGACATGATAATACTAATAATGGACACATCGAACATGACCGGGGAGGAGCTTCAAAAACATTATCCTAAGGAGGTAGATTTAAGACCGTAGTTTTTAATCGTTTGATGTGTTCTTTTTAAGTTCGTAGAATTTTTTTTTTTTTTTTTTAATGTTATGTTATGTTTTTCTTAATTATTACAATATAATGTTTTTATTTTTATTTTGAAGCAACGAAATATTATGTTTTTTTTAATTAAAAATGGAGGTTCTATTTAAATTTAATTATTAAAAAAAAGTGACACAATGAATCACACCCCTCTAGCCTAACAAATCCTAAACAACTTTCAATCTTTGATGAAGTAATGAACACGTACATAACAACATCTAAGATTTGAATCCAAGTACATGGTGAAAAAACTCTAGGTATTGTTTTAAGTAATTTTTCCCTGAAATAGAAGCTTATTAAGTGGGGGTAAGAACAGTTGGCACGTGCGATTTGGGTATTAGTAAACAACAACAGTACACCACTTTTTCTTCTGCACGACATACGAAGAAGCCAAGAATTTGTCATGATGAAACTATACACACCAACGACAAGAACCAAAGAAGAAATCAAACCCCATTCATCCCAATATCTTTCCTCCTCCTCCTCTCTCTCTTTCTCTCTCTAAAACCCTTCTTCTAATACCAATCCATGTGACATTCTGTTTTCGACCCAGAATCATCAGCATCCAACACCCTCTGCAGATTCTCCCACACATTCTCTTCTTTTTAAGGTTTCATTTAACTTGTATGTGCGTGGGTGTACACCAATCAGGCTTCTTTTCATCCATTCTTTCTCCTTTTTGTATGTAGAAAAATGGGTGAAAGATTCTTGTCAGCAACTCCCTCTGATAGAGCTCTTGAACAGGTCCATGTTCTAATCTTTTTTTTTTTTCGTTGTTTTTAGTAGTTAATCTTGATGAATGTTATGCCGATTATGCTTATTTTCCTTCAAAATTCAGTGTCTATCTCACTCGGTGTTCATCTTTTTCTATTTTATTTCAGTCTGTGATTCAGTTCCATTAGAAAAAGATCCGATTTTTACCTCAATGTGTGTTTGATTTCTTCATCTTTAGGTCATATGTCATGGTTCTTGAAAATCTTTTTGTAAAAAGAAGCCTTTTTCATGCTTAATTAGCTCAAAATTTACCCAATGGTTGTTTAATTTTTGTTGCGTTTAAGTGGGTTTTAATAAATCTACCAAAAATGAAAACCTTTATTTGCTTAATCTCTTTCAAAATTCTACTTTTATCCTCAATGGGTGTAAGATTTTTTCAAAATCTAGCTTTATAATAATACTATTAGTCTCTGTTTGCTTCTGTCAATTTCCATTGACTTCACAAGCACCCCATGAGACCATTTTCCTTTTAGTTGAAAAGATGCCATGAAAAGATACTCGAATCCAAAGGTCCAATCATACCCAGTGATGTTGACACTCAAAAAGTTCAAACTTGTGGATGAAATCGCATATGAAATGTTCCATGTTCTTCCTGAAACTTTAACTATTTCAGGGATGTAAATCGATTTCTGAAGACGAAATCAATAAATTGGGTTTCAATTATCGAACTTAATAACATAATTTAGTAACAAAAATCTTTAATTCATTTCAGGCGATTGTTGCTTTAAAGAAAGGGGCATATATATTGAAATACGGTCGAAGAGGAAAGCCCAAACTATGCCCATTCAGGCTATCAACGGTATACTTTTTGAGAAATAATATATATGTTCTTGAATTATTTTCGTTAAATTCTATGATAATTAAACGTAATTTTATTCTATTTTTTTATTAAATTTCGTGTCCAATTTGGGGTTTCAGGATGAAAGAACTTTAATGTGGTTTTGCGGCAATGAAGAAAAAAAACTGCAACTAAGCTCTGTTACGAGCATCGTTCGTGGCCATGGAACTGTAAGTATTTAAATTAAAAAAAAAAAGTATTTGTTCATCAATTTTAATTCAAATTATTCATTCAAGAGTTTGTAATTATGCTAAATTTCAGAGGAAACTTCAACCAGAAAGAGAATGTCATTCGTTTTCGCTGATATACACGAACAACCAAGCTCAATGCTCTCTTGATCTGGTAAGTTTGGCTTATTATTCAACAATTTTCCAGTTCTTGACTTTCAAATATTTCGATTGATGAGTTATTAATCAACTTTTTTGTTTTGTATTCTTGTTTCGCAGATATGCAAGGATAAAATGCAAGCAGATTCATGGTTTTTAGGCCTAAAAGCTTTGATATCAAGGTGCGAAGATTTCAGACACCCTGAAAAGCAAAGAGTAGCGCAAAGTTGTATAAACAGTCCTTCTAGTTTCATCAGAAGAAAATACAATCTGGGTATTTCAAAAGAAACCACCAAAATGTCTCAGGTTTTTTACACTCGATAGATAATAAGTTCTCAAATTTTATAAAACTTATGAGTTATGAACAATTTGTGGTGATAATTACGTGAATAACGAGTAATCGTTTGGTTAATTTTGAAGGTGAGAAGCGTGTGTGCAAGCCCAGTTCCATCGATGATATCCGATCCATGTTTCTCTGATGGACTTTCACTTTCATCGGATAGTTTTTATTCAAGATCGAGTTTATCAAGTACACAGAACTTTCCAGAAGGTTTAGCCCCATATTCACCTTGCATGAAAACCGAAGAACCCAAAAAGAACCCGAAAACAATTACCCGATTTGGTGCACCCGTTGTTCTACCTCGAGAACAATCGGACCCACAAAGAACAAAATTGAACGATGTTTTAATATGGGGAGAAGGTGTTGAAAATGGCGTCTTGGGTGGTGGTGGTGATAACATGGTCAACACAGTCAATGGTCACAGAAACCAATCACAAATGGATGCGTTGTTACCGAAAGTTCTTGATTCAGTAAGTATGTTAGATGTCGAGAAGATATCATTGGCTGGAAAACATGGTGTTTTACTGACAAAACAGGGTGAAGTATTCTGCTGGGGTGAAGGACAATCGGGCAGGCTCGGGCATTCCCTCAGCTGCCCGAAAGAAGTTGAATCCCTTCATTCCCTTGGATGCCGTGTGAAATCGGTTTCTTGTAGCGAGTATCAAACATCCGCCCTAACATTTTCCGGCGAGCTCTACACGTGGGGTGATAACACCTCCGGTCAAGGTCAAAGTAGCCGGTGGCTCCCCCGCCGAATCTCCGGCGTACTAGACGGAATCACCATATCAAAAGTTGCTTGTGGAGAATGGCACACTGCAATCGTTTCAACTTCCGGTCAACTATTTACATTTGGAGACGGGACTTTCGGTGTTCTAGGTCACGGAAACTATCAAAGTTTGACCGAACCGAAACAAGTTGACTCGCTCGCCGGACTCCGTGTCAAATCGGTCGCGTGTGGGCCATGGCACACGGCGGCAGTGGTCGCGTTGATCACCGGACCACCCAAATCAAGTTCTCCGGCGGGAAAGATGTTCACTTGGGGTGACGCGGATAAAGGAAGATTAGGTCATGGTGATCACAACCCTAAACTCAAACCTACATGTGTTGTTTCTCTCATCGATCATGATTTTGTCCAAGTATCTTGTGGAAGAATGTTAACCGTTGGATTAACGAGCACGGGTGCGGTTTTCACGATCGGAAGCTCGGTTCATGGGCAATTAGGAAACCCTATGGCTAGGGAAAACTCGATAACCCTAGTTCAAGGCAAGTTGAAGTTCGAATTTGTTCGAGAAGTAGCAACGGGTTCTTATCATGTTGCGGTTTTAACATCCAAAGGAAGTGTTTACACATGGGGTAAAGGAGCAAATGGGCAATTAGGGTTAGGTGATACGGCGGATCGAAGCTCACCGACTTTAGTTGAGGCTTTGAGAAATCGACAAGTGGAAAGCATCACTTGCGGGTCGGGCTCGACCGCTGCGGTTTGCGTACATGAACCTATAACTTGCGGACTCGAACAATCGGGTTGTCGAGGTTGCAATACGGAGTTCGGGTTCATGAAGAAAAGACACAATTGTTACAATTGTGGTCTCTTGTTTTGCAGTGTATGTACAAGTAACAAGAGTAAGAAAGCGTGTTTGGCACCTAATGAGAATAAGTCTTTTCGGGTTTGCGATTCTTGCTTTAAGGGTCTTGAACGGAGTAGTTTGAATTTGGGTCAAATTGTGAAGATTGAAGATCTTACTCCAAGACCATTATTGATTAAAACATTTTCTGAAGAAACGGATGATCAATATACGGGAACTCCATATAAAACAGGTTTGGATTTGAAATTGTGTTCTTCATTGATGAATCAAACACCAAGATGGGGACAAGTTTCTTCACCCGCATCTTTTCGAAAGCATTGTCAAGAAGAGTCATCTTCGAATGTTGATTCTCGTATTGCTAGTCGTGTAAACAAGAACCCACAAAGTGTTGAGAAGACCACAAAACGTAATGGAGCCAAAGAAGTCATTAAGGCATTGACATCAAGGGTAATCTTTTATCCATGTAATAGAGCCACAATGTCAAATTTCTTGAATTCCATTGTGGATTGGGCTCTTTGTAGTCATTGTACTTTTATGACAACTACCTAGTGGGTCACTGTCTACCTGATTTATATCTAACATGATAAACTTAGGATCAAAGAGTGCAATTCAAGGGTTGTTGGAAGAATAACCCTTTTGTAGATACATTAATATCCTTTTTCTATCGGTTTATTTCAAATTGATGGTAATTTTTGATTTTTTTGCAGCTACATTTAATGTCTCCAAGAGCTTTTATGCGAAAACAAACGAAAGCTCACCTAGATACACCAACAATGAGTGCTATGAGGGTGCCTTGTGATATTGAGGTCAAAGACCTCATTGATCCGTGTGATTCGGCTCGTGTCCCGACTTTGCACAATGATGTGTGTGTTCTTGGTGGTGACACGAGACCATCTGATGAACCCGTTGTTAAACCAATAGTTTCTGGACAAATTAACAAAGTAAAGCAAAAACATGAATGGATGGAACAATATCAACCCGGTGTTTACATCACATTCATCATGTTGACAACCGGTCAAAAAGGGATCAAGCGAGTCCGATTCAGGTACTTTTTATATAGTTTCTGATAGTACGGTTAGGTTAGACCGTTAGGGTCAGCTTTCTTGTTAAGAAATCATTCAGTTTTCTTAACAAGGAAGCACTGTCGTGCAGAATGCACACTAGGGTCAACTTTCTTGTTAAGATAGTTGACCCTTGATGTACTCTAGGGTTAGCTTTCTTAATGTTTGTTAAGAAAGCTGACTATTGGTGCACCGTGGTGCAGAGTGCACCATCTTAGATATAACTTTTTTTAAATAATCTTTGATTTATGTATTTATTTATTTTTGCAGTAGGAAAGTGTTTAAGGAAAGGGAAGCAGAGAAGTGGTGGGAAGATAACCAGCAAAAAGTATATGACAACTACAATGTTGATGGCTACATAAACTCATATTAGGTTTTAATGAAAGGGGTTAAAATGAAAATGGTAACGTTGATCGGGTCATATTAACAGCAGTGATACGTGATCTTGTATAATTTTTGTGGAGAAATATCGGTATAGAAATGTATATGTTTGGCATGTGTACGCCATATATAAGTTGCATTTAGTGAGCTACCACTACATTTTACAAGAAATCATCATATTACAAGAAAACCAAAATAGTGAAAGACATGATCATAAAAGTTAGCCCACAGAAACATGTAAATTGTAGTACATTAATTCAAATTTGAAATAAAAACATCATAAAAAGCTGAAAAAATTCCAAACACGAGAAGGGCCCTCGTAAATCAGTCAATGCTTCAAATATATTCATACCACAGGGCCCATTCCATTACTATTTGCAACCAAACAACGAACAAACCTACACTTAAACTTTAGCAATAACTTTCATATATTTAAAATTAAAGAATGTAGTGTAACTTGAATTCTAGAATATTACCTTTTCTAAAAAAAATTAAATAAATAAAAAAAACAATTCCTAGTACATTTCAACAAGAGGAAGCACGACATTCAATGTCACATTGATCCAAAATTCTACTATCAAGACTAAAGTTTCTATATCGGATCTGACATCAAAATGCATCGTGAACAAATTTTGTAAAAGTTTTTGGGTTTAATTTTATTGGCAAAATTTAAGTTAGTTTGCTTTTATAAATAAACCTCTTATGAATTCGGGTAACCCTAAATAAGTAAAATTGCAATTGGAAAATCATCAATAAAATATCTCTTGTTAGCCCCTACACTAAGCTCGATTTCTGAGATTGAATGAACCATGTTAAACATTGTGCTTTTGTATTTTGTTTGAATTATTACTGTGTGTGTGAAAAATCATCTATCGTTTTTACGGTGATTTAACCTAATACAATCTAGACAGATCTTTACTCACTCATTGTGCTAGTTGCTCCGTAATACCTGCAAGATATGAGAATAGCTAAAATGTAATATACATCAACATTAAATTATTTATTCTTATATCAAAGTTGAAGTTATCAAAACTTACAATAAAGTTCGGTCAACATATATATGTTTCTAAGTCAAACCCGTACCAAAATCATCAAAATTATTAAAATATTTAGCTTAGTTTGATGTCTATAAATAAGGCTAAAAAGAGTGATAACACTCTTGACATGTTGCCACGTAGGATTTTTTAGTTTTTTTTATGACACATATGTTTAGCATGTTTTGCATAAAAAAGGTAGGGAATGGAAGTGTGATAATTTAATAGGTTTAATTTTGAAAACAAAATGTATAAAGAAATACAACTTAACTAATCACACCACACATTCATACTTTCTCTCTCCTCTTTCTTCTCGCCACACACATAGCACCCCTTTCTTAGCATAAGGTAAGGAGTGGTATAACATCTTTAGCATTTGACACCTCCTTTAACACCTCCACTCCCTTTAGCCTAACAACTATCCTCAAAGAGCTATACTCAAAGCTCACAAGTCGTCGTCAACCTAATGATGTGATTATTACATAAACGGTTGAAAAACTATCAATTAGATATCATAACGAACTCCAAAATTAATCACTAAACAACCAATAATAATGTTAATAAACAAACTGATTTTTTTAATATTATAAATAGAAAAATCTATTGTTAACTACAAACAATATGATCATTAGGAATTAGTTTGATTATTAAGGATAGAAGCAAACTTGTCAAACGAATTCAAATACTATGTAAAAACCGACATCATTGACGATTTTTCCATGAAAGTAAAGATTTGTACAGATTTGAAATCCTATTCTTAAAGGTTTATGTCTTATAGTTTCTTTAAGGGAAAATGACACCGTAACCCTACATGTATTTCACATTTTCCCATTCAGTCCCTTATGTTATTTATGTGCATTTTAAAAAGAATAAAGTTGGATTTGTCGGGTCGAATAAGTCATTTTGTAAAAACTGAAGGGATCAGTCGGCCATCTAAAACCCATTTGACCACTCCATGCTTTCTATTCGTCTATTTGACCAACTCTTGTCCATTTGACTAGTTCTTCTTCCTTTTTTCACCGTTTCTTCTTCTTCATCTTCTTCACGAGATCTTCATCTCCTTCTTACTTCTTTTCATCCAAACAAGAAAAGATGGCGATGTGCGATTGTAGAAGCATGACAATTATAAGGACATCCACCACTAAGAAGAATCCTGATAGGGAATACTATGCTTGCTTGAATATGGCACTTAATTCTTATTCTAATCTCGATAACATTTGGATTTTTTGGTAAATGATGATTATCGAAATCTGCAGGTACCTAGGAGTGGGTATATTTCTTGGGTTGATGAGGCTGAAAATCATAAGCATGTTGTTGAATATCAAAATCAAAGCTTCATGAAAGTGGTAATCCAAAATCGAAGCTTGAAGATTTGCTTGAAGGAGGTGGTAAGCCAAAAGTGGAAGCTAAAGATTTGCTTACTGCTCAGTTGGGTTTTGTTTTTTGGAGAAGTCGATACACTCCAATTCCATACAATCCAACTCGATGTAAGAAAAATTAGGGTTTGTGGTGGAGATCTAGATACCAACTTGGATCGTGAGAACACTTTTTGAACTGATATTTCTACCCTATGCATGAGTTGCAAGAAATTTAGCCTAGGATAATCCAAGTGGACACTTATGATACTAGGCACAAAAATCGTAAGCCAAAGTGCTAAAAGGATTATGTGAAAGTTTGAAGAAAACGAGAGCTAAATTTTGTGTGTATCTTCTGAGAAGGAAGAACTGTTTATATATAATAAATGAGATTAGGGTTTCATTAGGGTTGGGCCGTCATAAGTTGCTTTGGAAGCAAGTCAGGGTAATCCGAATTTGAATGAGGATTTAGGGTTACCAAAACTAATGAGTTTAGTTAGTTTTACCGTAATTACCCTCAAAAATCCTAATTTCCCACTATGTTCCCATATGTAAAATTTGCAGAGGTTTTGGGGCTTTGCCCCTTGGACCCCGCTAGGGGCGCTACCCCTTTGGAAACCCCGAACCTAGGGGTACTGCCTCCGGACCCCCGACTTGTCGTCGAACTGGCTTCTAATCTGATCTTATACATGCGTGCACACCGCACAGACTCGAACATATATTAGAATACAAATTATGAAGCCCATTAGCTCACATGTTAATTCTAGTTAGATAAAATGATATGGTGACACTAAAATCACCAACACTCGATACATTTCAACGATGTTTTTCTTGTTTACACTATGAATTTGACTTTTACTATCTAATTTTGACTTTGAAATGGCAATAAACTGGATACTAAAGGTAGAGGTCCCAAAAAGACATGTCACTACCTACTTTGTTCCCTTAAAAGGCACGAAAATAACATAAGTGACTGAATGAGAAAATGTGAAATACATTGTAGGGATACAGTGTTATTTTCCCTTTCTTTAAGCATCAAATATATAAAAAAAAACTTATAAATAAAATCGTTGATTCCAAGAGAAAGGGCATAACGATTAACACAAATTGATGTTTCATAAAAACAAGAATAACTTGGAACTTAGAGGTTGCACACTTGCTTTTTCTAAAGCAGGAGAAAGATGTTAATAGAGGATATGATATTCTACATGTTTAAAATGTTGGAACTTTTCTTAAATCAAAGGGATCTTGTCCCGTATGAAAGGAAGTAAGAAACTTTAAAGCCCTTATAATCCTTTGTCTCTATATCATATCAATACAGCAAGTGACACAAAAATACATTTGGGCTAGGATTATGATATTGGACTAACATTTTAATAAAAAAGTAGGCTTTGTCATTAAATATAATTAATAGTCAATAGTGAAGCCTTGGACCTTGTAGCTCTTCTTGATTGTTTAAATTTAGAAAAATTAAATATCCTTTTACTTTTTGTTCCTATTTATCATCGTACTCATATAAAATAACTAGGCGAATGTCCGCGTGTTGCACAAAACATCTATATAGTTGAAATCTTTACAAATATATATATTTTTATCTATAACAATAACATTGTTGTTAAATTTGATATAATAATTCGTATACTAAATTAATATAATATATTAATTATTTTGAATTATATGATAATATATATATATATATATATATATATCTATATATATATATATATATATATATATATATATATATATATATATATATATATATATATATATATATATATATAACTGATAATCTCAACCGTTTGAATAACTTCTTCCCGCGAGTTACTCATGAATAAAATTAAATATAATATATGAGTTAATGTTATTTATAGTTTTTGTTATTTTTAAATAATTTTTTAAAATTTGTTTTCTTAATGTTTTACTTTCTATCATTATAATTATTTAAAACATCAGACATTGTTTTTTATTTTAAAAATAACAATATAATCATTTATATAGAGTTATTTAAACTATTGTTATTGTAAATTATTTTAAGCTACTTATTTGAAAACTTTTAACGATTATACAAATATCTTTACAAAATATTTTAGTTAAATGGATATTATAATTTAGTTTTTGCATTTAGCTTTAAATTGATAATGGTTTAAATACAACATTTTAAATCTAATAAATTATGTATAATATGTTAAAAGTTAAAAACATAAGTTTATAAGTATAAGTAAAGATATTATTTTAATATTGAAATTTAGTTTATTTATGATTACACTATAGATTTGATATTTATTTAACCTTATTAACCAAATTATAATCATTATTAGAAAGACATTATAATTTATCACTTTTAACTATTTACAAAATATTATTTGGGTTGTTTAAGTTAAACTAAAATTTATATTTAGAGTAAATTACACTAATGGTCCTTATAGTTTGGGGTAATTTGTGCGTTTGGTCCCTAACTTATTTTTTTAACTCGGAAGGTCCTTATTGTTTGTTTTTGTCACGCGGTTGGTCCCTACTATTTGTTTTCATTACGCATTTGGTCCCTATCTTACCTAAAAATGTTATTATTTAAACAGAGAAAAATGATGAGGTAGGTAAGGTAAGGTAAGGTGAGAGGATGAGGTTGTGGGCGTATTTATTTAAATAAATTAAAAAATCAAGGACAAAATAGTCTTTTTAGGTAAGACAGGGACCAAACGTGTAACAAAAACAAACAACAGGGACCTTCCTAGTTTAAAAAATAAGTTATGGACCAAACGTGTAAATTATCATAAACCATAAGGACCATTCGTGTAATTTACTCTTATATTTAAGTTAGTCTTGTAATGTTATATTTAAGTTTATAATTTAAATATTT